TTAGGATAAACCAAGAGTTCAATAAAGGAATCGTTAAATTCATTTACTATTGCCTTTTGTCGTGTCTTCATATAGGCATGATTGTGATATTGTCTTGTATTTAATTTGACGGATTGAATTAAAAGTTTATTGTTTAAGTTTACAGATACCAAGCCAACATTGTATAATTGTACATAATTGTAAATTTTATTACACATAATAAATAAGTACTTTAAATTAAAGGTATGTAAGATAATTTTTACTTAAAACTCAATTTGACTTAACTCATTAAAAATATTAATCATCTTGTTAAGTAAGTATAACTTTTAGTCTTTCATCTAAAGCATCTATTTGCATAATAAATGCTTTTCTTAAACCAGGTTAAATAAGTACTAAAGCTGTAATTATTTTAAACTTTAATTTATTGAATGAATTTTAATGTTATATCATCTAATCTCAAAGAATAATTTTCTTAGTTAGATTATAAAGAGACCTGCAATTTTTATAAAATCTTAAATGAAGCATCAATAATAAAAAAAGAGTTCTAATACTAAATTTATTTCTTTTGGATTTTTTAATATAGATAAATTGATCATAATTTAGATTTTTCTTTAATTAAGTTTAATTTCATTACTTCTTATAATATAGCTGAGATAGTTAACTTTGTTCACTATAAACATGTATTTTTCTGATTTAATTTTTAATTCTGCTTCTTTTAATCTGATAAAAACTTATTATATATAATTACAATGATCTTGAAAGGTAATTGAATAAATAATAATATGGGGCATGCTGCAATAAAATCAGACAAAGTGAACATTTGTATTACTAAAAATTTCAGAAATCAATAATGTTTGTTTAACATGTTTAACATTACAATTGTATTATAATGTAATGTGATCATAATATTTGTCTAGATAAAACTAGTTAATATGAAGCTAATTTATATTAGATCTATTATGGAATCCAAGAATTATAGCATCATTACAGATGGTGTCCCAAATGATTTGACCACTTTTCAACATTAAAAAATTTATGTATGTTTTAAAAAATTAAAATAAAATTTAAGTTTAACATATTTATTATGCCTTTCTTTATTAAATTTTACAAAAATTTAATAATTAATTCTATTTTTATTCGTGAAAATAACTGCATTAACCCTCTTAGGCATACTATTAATTAATTTTTGATAATATTCAGATAGGAGATTATCTCATGTATCTTTAATATATTCTATAAGTACACTAATACTAGATAGTAATGATAAGTGATAGCAAACCATCCTTTTCATTTCTGACCAAATGTTCTCAATAGGATTGAGATCTGGTGACAGTACTAGTCAGTCAAGTTTCATAATTCTAGCATTTTCACATGCGACCACAGCAACCTTTGAATGATGTGGTGTAGCATTATCTTTCTGAAAAATTCTATTACCCTGTAGAAAATGACTATGTAAAGTAGATACAATAAAATCACTAATTACTTTTGCATATGTTTGGCCAGTAATTGAACTATTAATTGAAATAATTAGTTCAAGATCATTTTAGAAAAAGCACCTCAAAACATTTTGCTTGGACTGTATTTCACAGTAATTGAAATTCAATCAAAGTTTAATTCCTCTTCAGGTTCACATCATACCATTTCCTGACGATTTTGTTAAAATTGTATGAAAGTGCTTTCGTTTGTAAAGAGAACTTTTCTTCATCATCTTACCATCCAATTTTTATGTTCAAGAGTCCATTCAAAATGAGCCTGATAATGTAATTCTATCATAGCAGGTTTATGATGAGGAATATAGGCTTTAAGTTCAATTTTCTTAAGGTTGCGATGTATAGTCCTATGAGAAACAAATTGCTTTATTTGAGCTGTCCAAACAGTCGCAAGTTTTTTTGAGCAAAGTCAACAATTTTTACCATTTTCTTTAATAAAAGTCTTGAGTTTTTGTTGAGCTGGTGAATCAAGAAATAGTGGGCAGCCAGTTGGTTTTTTTGGTGTTAAAGAATGTGTTTCATAAAGGCATTTAAGAATATCATTAACTGTTATTTTTCCACACCCTAGCTATTTGGCAATTGTGTGACTTAAATGTCCACAATTATGATCATAAATGATTGTGTCGTAAGTTTTTGAAGTAAGTGATTTCATTTTTCTGAAAACTTTCAAAATAAATGTGATACAAAAATTAATTCATAATGATTATAAGTTAAAAATTATTATTTGTTTATATTATAATAATATGTGATAATTAGCATAATTCTGGCAAAACAAACTGGCTAGATCATTTAAGCTACTATTTATAGAAGTATTTTAAAAAGGAACAAGATTAAAAAATTGCCTCTTACATTTTCAAAATAAATGACACTTAGACATTGGAAGCCTATCTAAGAAAAGAAGGGATTACTTATAAAATTTATTAAGAAGAAAGAAAAATAATAAATATAAAGAAAAGAAAGCAGAATGAAAGTGTATTATTATTCAATAAAAAGCAAAAATTCTTATAAAAAAAATAACTACATTTTCTTTGATAGTTGAAATTAATTTTAATTTATACTGAGGAAAATTACTTTCTTATTTTCAATCAAGGTCATTTTTTGAATTTTTTAACTTCAATTTGAGCAACTTATTGTAAAATTAACTATTCTAACTGAGTTTTTAATCTTGAATTTCTTCTTTATAATTGTCATTTTCTTCTTATAACTTCTTAATCTTATCTAAAAGTTCTTATTTTTGTCTTTTACTTCACTCCTTTGATTTTTTTTGAAATTTAGTTATTTCTTTCTTTTCAATTTCAAGTGCTTCTTCAGTCTCATTTAGTTGTTCTTGTAAAGAGTTTATTTGTTTTTTATAAAAAGTAAACTGACTTACTTCTTCATCAGGTAAGAGTAAAAGTTCTTTCTTTCTTTTTCAAATCTTCATTATTTCTAATACAGTAACAAATCTTCTTACTAGTAACAATATCAAAATCTAACTTAGTTTGTAACCTACCACATCTATTGCATTTTGACAATTTATCACTCCAATACTTTTTTTTCATACCTTTTATAAACTATATTATCTGAAATTCATTCTTCAGTTACTTTACTATAGACTCTTATTTGATGAATAGATTTGTTATTTTTGTTTTCAAATTTAGAATAAAAATCATAAGTTTTTTTGCTTTCTTTTTTTAATTCTAAAACTGTGTATTCTAACTCTCTCATTGTAATTTACTCATTATTTAGACTTAATTTCTATTTGAGTAATCATTTCTTGATTGTGAAATTTTTTCTTTTTGATTAACTTTTGTAATTTTTGAAGTTTAACTTTTACTTTGATTTTTAACTGCTTAAACATGCTCTATTTAGTTGATGACTTGCTTTCTTCTTTTATAGATAAAATAAGTAAAAGTTTATTATTTAAATAGAGTAAATTTTCATTTTGCAATTCACTATCAGTTAATTGCTTGCTTAGTTTTCTATTTTTTTACTCTTTTGACTTGATTCTTTTTTTCAACTTTTTAATTTATATTTTTAAATGAGAAATCTTTTCACTAGAACTTTTGAGCTTCTTGTTTTTTTCTTTTATATCTTTTACTTAATTTTTGCTTCACTTTTTACTAACTGTTAAGATTTCCTTAACTTATTCTTATTCTATTTTATTCTCTTTTTTAACTCTTTTATCTCTGTCTCCAAATTTTCTTATTCTACTTCTAATGCCTTAATTTCTTCTTTATATTCTTGATTTTATTTAACCACTTTATCAAGTTCTGTCTTAGTATTAATAGTTAGTTCATTTCAACTATTGACTAACTCATCTAGAGAAAGATGTTAAAGATTATAATAATTATAACAAGATAGTTTTATTGAATTTCATCCTTCATAACCTTTTTCTAAGATTCCTTAGAAAGTTAAATTATCTTTTATTTTACCTTCTTTAAATCACTTTTAAATAACTCATTACTTTCTTTAGAGTTTAATTTGATAAGGTTGATAAAGATATCTCTTTTAACATCATTTATTACTATATAAAATTTCTTGTGATATTGTAATAATGATTAAACTGATAAGCATGGAGAATCATATTTCCATGAACCTCTTCAGTAGGATATCTCTTACAAAATGCAGACCAGTTTTCTTGATTACAATAATACTTTATAACTATATCAAGTACCTTTATATTTATATCAGATCTATAACTATTACTTAGAATACTAATTACTCATTATTTGATTTCTTTGTAATTTAACTATTTAATATTCTCTTGCTCTTTATTAGCTAATTGCTTTTTCAATATTTCAATTTTATTTAATAATTTTTTATTTGCTTGTTGTTATTCATTTATAATATTTACCATAATTTTTGTTAATTATATTCTTCAATTTTTAATAAATACTTAATATCTTTCTTTTTATAAAAACATTATTAAGTATATAATTATTTTATTAGTTTATTTTTAAATTTTCTATTCATTATCAGCATAAATTGGTTTTAAACAAATAATATCTTTAAATTCATCCCTTACAAATAGATGAATATTATTATAAAGATATTCTTACCTTTTATAATTCAAAGGAGATGGTATTAACACTAAAATAGATAAAGATTTAATCTCTTCAAAAATATCTGCTTTCTTAGTTTTTAATAAATTTAATTCAGTAAAAGGTCTATTGGCAATCTTCTAAGCTTTAATCATACCAAGATTAGATGCTTCAAAAAGAAAATATTAATATTTCTATATATTTAGTAATTTCTTAAAATAAATTCCCAAAATAGATTTGATATCTAAATATTAAAAACCTTTTTCATCTTCATAATATTGAACTTTATTCAATCCTGCTAGACTGGATCTTTTCACTACATCAACCATATGATTCATACAATCTACTCTTATTTTTCTATAAAGTTTTTTTATTAAACCAAAGCTATCATCATATTTAAATTTAATATGTTCTAGAATCATAAAATTCAATTTAATACTTTTGTAATAACCACAAATTACTAAATATAAATAGAATCAAATTGTTACATTATTTTTATTTTGTCTACCAGCATTATCACAAATAATCTTTAAATGCTTTTCACCTTAGTTCAATTTCTTAATTCTATCAAAAATCATACTAAGTATGTTATTTGAATCTTTTTCTATAATTTCATTTTCATTAAGAATATAATTAATTTATTCCCTTACTGCTTTATCTTGAATACCAAATAAATAAACCTTATATGGACTAAGATAATAAATTTTACTTACTTGTTGATCAGAATGTGATACATGAATATTTTAGGCTTAATTATAACTATAGTGAATAGTGACATTAATGTTATAATATGATATTTTACCCTTTGAATAATTTTGATCAACTAATTTTCTTTGTTCTTCTGATAATTTGATATTTTTATTATAATAATTTCTTTCTAATCTTACCTTAAATAAATGTTCTTTAAATCTTTTGAGCAAATCTTTAGCTTTTTTCTCCTAGTGAGCATTATAATGTAAACTATCTCTAAAGTGTTAACAAGTATTACACAGATTAGTTTTTAGACTTATAATTTAAATTTCTAGTGTCAATTGATATCATAATTTTCTAAACACATCATATTTTAAGGTTTCAAGTTGCTATCTTCTTCCAGACTAATCAGAAAATATCTGTACATAGATTTATAACTCATTTTAGCTAGTAAAAATACAATTGATTGAGTTATTCTATTAATACTTCTGCTTGAACTTGGTAATCCATAGACTTTTACATAATTTTCTAGAAAATTCTTTACTACTTCTGCAACATTTTTATCAATCACCATTTTAGTTTTCTATTGAAGCATTCTTTTAATATTACCATGAACTCTTACTAAAAGACTATTATTTATTAGATGATTTCTGATATTTTCAAAATAAGTTCTACCAATTTCTAACATATTGAGATAAGTTTCTTGATAAAGGAGTGTATTGTGATTCCAATAGTAGAAAGTTCTTTTATTAGATCTGGTTTTCCTTTTAAGGCATCTACTAGTACTTATTGATTTACTATCCATTGTTTTAATCTGTGTCATTAAAAATATGTCTTATTCAGACTTGCAAAGAGCTTAAAAAAACTCCCTTAATTCTGCAAATTATTTTTTGAGAATTCTTGAAGAGTAATCACAATTACATCCTTTTTCTAAAAAATCAATTACTTTGTGATATTCATTAAAATTATTATATTTATTATTATTATTACTTTTCATATACACTTATCTCTATATATAATTTTATGTTTACTTTGTAGATTTTTAATAATTTAAAGGCATATCTCTAAAACAACAGATGAGTTAATATATTATATAAATCACAAATATTATTAACAAAACATACAATAAAAGATTAAATGTATTTTTATTTAACTTGATTTAAAATTTATAAGAATAAAAGACTAATGCTTATTTCTCTGTAACTAACCCAGCAAAAGTGCAAATATAGAATTTAATAATGTTGCCAAAAATTAAAAAAGAATTTTAAATGTGAAATTTTAATATATATGTTAATAAAGTATATTTTTAATAACTATAATTTCATTGTAATATTTATTAAATTCTAATTATAGAAAATTAATCTAATATTTCAAAACCAAAGATTTAAAACCATTTTTTAAAAGATGGATGTCATGTTCTTTTTTAATTGATGCTTCACTAGTCATATCTTGATGATATGATACTTCAGAATTAATCAATTATGCATATCTATTAAATCAATTTAGTATTATTTAGAAATAAATATATACTGAGTAGACTTTAGTAATTCAGAAAAAATTTACTTTACATTAGAATCTCTCTCAGACCAATCAAAATCAACAATTCTTAATTCATATTCATCTAAATTTCTTATAGAAATCATTATATTAATAAAATATAAATCTCTATGTACATAGTTTTCATCATGTAAGATTTTAGCAATTTTCATAACTTTTCTCTTAATCTTTTCTTTTTCATTATATTGTAAATTAGAAATATAAAAATCAAGAATTTCAATTTATCAGGTAGTAAATATTCTATTACAACTATCTTTCAATTATCACAAAAATCTTGAACAGCAAATAATCTTGATGCTAATTTTTTTTGATAACAATATTCATGAACTTCTTCACTATAATTATTTTACATAAATTTGACAACCACTGTTGAGATATTTTATTTTCTATATTATTTTCTTGTACCTCCTTTACTAGAAAAGAAGTTTTGTCTTATATAATTGCTTTTTATAAATAAATTGATAATTTTCATCATTACTTTAGAAGGAATGTGGATAAGGAAAATAAGACTGTAGTTCAATATCCAATTTATCTAGTTTTACATCATTATAATAAGCTTTTAGTTCAGTTAACTCAGCTTTTAATGCATTTAATATAACAAGAATATTTATAATGTAATCATGGTAACATAGAATGGATACTAAAAGTATTAAAGAAGTAAGAGATTCAATTATAATATCTTCTCTAAAAACATCACCAGAGATCTCAAGCTATAGTTCAGTAAGATACAAAAGAAAACAAGGATTAAGATATCTCTTACAATTTGATACCATTGGAAAATATTTTTTACAAAAGTCATAAGCTTATCTATGTAGATCACTTTTTACTAATCTAATTTCATTTTTTGCCTTAAAGATCAAAGAACACATTGATTTCCTTTAATAGTGTATAAAATTATACCATCTGTAGTATATCCATCTGTAATTGAAAATAGATGCATCTCATATCTAAAAAGTTCATTCATCATATTTTGAAAAAGTTTTTTTCTTTTATCTTCAATAGAATAAACCTTTACTAAACATCTAAGATATTCAATTACTTCACCCTCTTCACCTATTGTATAATTTCCAACATTAACTTCTTTTGCAAAAAGTCTATCTTTAAAGTTTTCAAATATGTGATTATATATAGATATTAGGATGTTTAAACTATTTGATTGGTTATTGCATATTACAACAGAATCATATTCGTGTATTTTACAATAAGTTAATGGTGACCTTATGCTTACTACCTTTATCTTTTGATTTTCTGCTTGAATTCATATATTTTCTATTGTGAATAGGTTGAAATAATGTTATAAAAAAAAATAACAAACTGTTAATATATTTCAAAAAGTATCCAAATAGATTTATCTTCAGCTTTACATTTTACTTCTAAAAATAATAAGTAGTAAGAAAATGAAAATTAAAGAATAAATGATAGAAACTATTACGTGTACACTTAATGATGTTTATCTTTATTTTTCTCAACAATACCTTGTGATATCAACAGGAAGTAACAACTGAAAATAAATAAACAGAAACAAAAGAAATATAAGTTAATTAAAGTTGTAATAATATACCAATGTTCTCTCAAAAAAATAAATAAATAAATAAAATAAAATGAACAAAAAATAATTTTTTTTTATACAATTTATTTATTATCTTTCTCTTCTTCTCTATAGAACTCTCTCAATGCCTTCTCCTACTTTTTCATCTACTCTTACTTATCATTCTTATCCTTCTCCAGCTTCTCTTTTCTTTCTTTAATTCTTTTATCCATCCTTTCTACCTTTCTCTCTGCTCTTCATTCCTGACTTTGTTGTTGTCTACCTTAAATTTCAACTCCTATATCTTCTTCTCTTTTCACCTTCCTTCCACTCTTCCAACTTCTTCACTGTGTCTTCATAATATCCTACTGCGCCTTCATAATATCCTTCTACTTTTTTTTTAGTTGTCATTTGTAAAGATTTATAATTTAAATTTAAAAATTAGTTAATTTAGATGATCATAATTATTATAATTTATGTATAATTTCGACTAATAATAAATTAGTAGATACATGACTTAGAATTATTTTTTTTTATAGATAATAGATTAAATAACAAAAAGAAAATTATTTTCAACTAATAATATAAAAAAATACATAAATAAATTATTTATAAAAATATTAATTAAATAATTGTCAAAGCACTTGCATAAGAGGAAAATACTCAAACCCAAAACTATTTATAAGTATTATCTATTCTTTGAGCACTCTGAAAAAAATTCAACTTTCACTATTACTACTGTTATTATTATTAATATGATTATTATTACTAATATTTATATCATTATTTTCATTATCTTCATCAACTTTGCTTTCTACTTCTTTTTTTTTTCTTTGTTGATTCATTTCTGAATTGCTTCTATTGTTTTCTTTTTAGGATTAGTTTTTGTTGATAAAAGTTTTTTATTGTAAAAGCAGCAATTCCCTTTCCCTCTTTAAATAAATTCACGAATTTCAATAGCTATTTTATTAAAGAAAAAATTGGGATTTAACCCAATCTTTTTATCAAACAACTATTTAAAATTTATCCATAGATTTTTGATTTCTTTTGAGTATTTTTTATCATCAATAAGTTTGTTTGTTTTATTTTTTTTCTTGATTTTATTTTATTGATTATTTTATTAATTTTTGATTTATAATAGAGAATTGATTTTTGTAAGTTTTATAGTGAAGTAAGAAACTAAGCAAAAATCCAATTAACAATCTATAAAAAAAATTCACAATTAAAAGTAATATTTTTTTTTGTGAATAAAATATTGTAAATATTTATTAATTATTTCTTTTTTAAATTGTATATAACAATGAATATTAAAGGATTTGAAAATAAGTAGTTAGTGATATTTTATAATATTTCAATATAAAGTGGGATTATTTATCTTGTTTCAATACTGATCAGAAAAAAATAAAGATTCATAAAATATATTCTTGAATGTAGAATTCATTCAAACAACAATTATAAGTAATACAATATGATTATTAATTACATTTGCATAAAGGAGAATTTTTTTGTAATAAGTTTAGCTAAATATTTAAGTTTTAATACTCTTTTATTCTGCTTTCTTTTTCTAACATTTATTATTTTTCTTTCTTTTTGGTAAATTTCATAAGTAATACTTTCTTTTCTTAAATAGTTTTTCACTATTTGAGTATCATTTATTTTGAAAATATAAGAAGCATTTTTTTACATTGTTCTTTCTTTAAAATATTTCTGATAGTACTATAATTCTTAGATTTCATAGTAAATTAGTAGAGCAATTTTGAGACTACTGGAGTCAAAATCCAAAAAAAATATCCAGAAAGATCCCAATCATAGGCCAGAAGCCCTTCTAGCTATATGAATCTATAATATAGAATTCAGGTCTAAA